TGGAAGAGACCTCATGGGCCATCCAGTCCAATCCCCTGCCAAGAAGCAGGAATATTGCTTTCAAAGCACCCCTGACAGATGGCCATCCAGCCTATGTTTAAAAGCCTCCAAAGAAGGAGCCTCCACCACACTCCGGGGCAGAGAGTTATACTGCTGAACAGCTCTCACAGTCAGGAAGTTCTTCCTCATGTTCAGATGGAATCTCCTTTTTTGTAGTTTGAAGCCATTGTTCCATTGTGTCCTAGTCTCCAGGGAAGCAAAAAACAAGCTTGCTCCCTCCTCCCTGTGGCTTCCTCTCACATATTTATACATGGCTAATATCTCCTCTCAGCCTTCTCTTCTTCAGGCTAAACATGCCCAGCTCCTTAAGCCGCTCCTCATAGGGCTTGTTCTCCAGACCCTTGATCATTTTAGTCGCCCTCCTCTGGACACATTCCAGCTTGTCAATATTCTCTTGAATTGTGGTGCCCAGAATTGGACACAATATTCCAGATGTGGTCTAACCAAAGCAGAATAGAGGGGTAGCATTACTTCCCTAGATCTAGACACTATGCTCCTATTGATGCAGGCCAAAATCCCATTGCCTTTTTTAGCTGCTGCATTACACCGTTGGCTCATGTTTAACTTGTTGTCCACGAGGACTCCAAGATCTTTTTCACACGTACTGCTCTTGAGCCAGGCGTCCCCCATTCTGTATCTTTGCATTTCATTTTTTCTGCCAAAGTGGAGTATCTTGCATTTGTCACTGTTGAACTTCATTTTGTTAGTTTTGGCCCATCTCTCTAATCTGTCAAGATCGTTTTGAATTCTGCTCCTGTCCTCTGGACTATTGGCTATCTCTCCCAATTTGGTGTCGTCTGCAAACTTGATGATCATGCCTTCTAGCCCTTCATCTAAGTCATTAATAAAGATGTTGAACAGGACCGGGCCCAGGACGGAACCCTGCGGCACTCCACTTGTCACTTCTTTCCAGGATGAAGAGGAAGCATTGGTGAGCAACCTCTGGGTTCGTCCACTTAACCAATTACAGATCCACCTCACCGTAGTTTTGCACTACATTGGACTAGTTTGTTTGCCAGAAGGTCATGGGGGACCTTGTCGAAGGCCTTACTGAAATCCAGGTACGCTACATCCACGGCATGCCCCGCATCTACCCAGCTTGTAACTCTATCGAAAAAAGAGATCAGATTAGTCTGGCATGACTTGTTTTGATAAATCCATGTTGACTATTAGCGATGACCGCATTTGTTTCTAAGTGTTTGCAGACCACTTCCTTAACAATCTTTTCCAGAATCTTGCCTGGTATTGACGTGAGGCTGACCGGACGGTAGTTGTTCGGGTCATCCTTTTTTCCCTTCTTGAAGATTGGGACCACATTGGCCCTCCTCCAATCTGCTGGAACTTCTCCCGTTCTCCAAGAACTCTCAAAGATGGTTGCCAATAGTTCCGAAATGACTTCCGCTAGTTCCTTCAATACTCTGGGGTGTAGTTGATCTGGCCCTGGGGACTTGAACTCATTAAGAGCGGCCAGGTATTCCTGGACGACTTCTTTCCCAATTTGGGGTAGGATGTCCTCCAATCCCTCATCCACTCCATCTTGCTGAGGTTGAAGACTCTCTTTTTGTGAGAAGACCGAGGCAAAGAAGGCATTAAGTAGTTCTGCCTTTTCCCTATCCCCTGTCAGCATTGCCCCATCTTCTCCTCGAAGAGGTCCTATCGCCTCCTTGTTTTTCCTTTTTCTACTGACACAAGAATAGAAGCCCTTTTTATTGTTTTTAATGTCCCTGGCAAGTCTGAGCTCGTTTTTTGCTTTAGCCTTGCGGACCTTTTCCCTACAGGTGTTGGCTATTTGTTTGAATTCTTCTTTGGTGATTTCTCCCTTTTTCCACTTCTTGTGCATGTCTCTTTTGTGTCTTAGCACAGTTAGAAGTTCTTTGGACGTCCATTCTGGCTTCTTTGCACTTGTCCTATTTTTTCTCTTTGTTGGCACGGTTTGCAATTGCGCCTTGAGTATTTCACTCTTGAGAAATTCCCATCCATCCGTAACTCCCTTGTCTTTTAGTATCTGTGTCCACGGAATGCTGCTCAGTGTTTCCTTCATTTTTTGGAAATCAGCTCTCCTAAAGTCCAGAATGCGGGTTTGACTTGTCTTAGTTTCGGCCTTCCTTTGTACCTCAAATTGCAGGAGCACATGGTCACTTGCCCCTAAGGATCCTACCACTTCGACCGCATCGATCAGGTCCTCCGCATATGTTAGGATGAGATCAAGAGTAGCCAATCCCCTTGTTGCCTCTTCTACCTTCTGGACCATGAAATTGTCTGCAAGGCAAGCGAGGAATTTGTTGGACCTTGTACTCTTGGCCGAGTTTGTTTTCCAGCAAATATCGGGATAGTTGAAATCGCCCATGACTACTACATCTCTTCTCTGTGCCTGTTTGGTCAACTGTTGGCAGAACACTTCATCAAGTTCTTCCTCCTGGCTTGGGGGTCTGTAGTAGACGCCTACAACGACATCTTTTTGAGTCCCAGTTCCCTTGAATCTTATCCAGATGATTTCAAGCTGGTTTCCCAGATTGCTGTCTTGAATCTCTTGTGCAGCATAAGAGTTTTTGACATATAAGGCTACTCCGCCTCCTCTCCGCTTTGTTCGGTTTCTGTGAAATCTTGAAGACATCTACTCAGGAATCTTCCACACTGTTGAAAACACAGAGAAAAACAGCATTTAAAATGACATTGTGTTTGATTTTATTATTTATTTGATGCACTTATTAACCGCCATTCTCAGCCCTTACGGGCGACTCATGGCGGTGTACAGTACACATAAAAGACAAGTTACAAAAGCCAGAATCCACAACACATAACTATACAACAAATACAGACTACATAAAAATCCGCTTCGTCTCTTAGTAGAATCATAGGCCAGTCTCGTCGTCCTTATACCATTCCAATTCTCATTACCGTAATGTTGTTACTAGCACTTAATTAAATGCCCTCTCGAACAGCCAGGTCTTAAGGCTTTTTCGAAAGGACAAGAGGGAGGGCGCCTGTCTAATGTGTCCTGGGAGAGTGTTCCACAGCCGGGGGGCCACCACCGAGAAGGCCCTCTCCCTCGTCCCCGCCAGCCGTGCCTGTGATGCAGGCAGGATCGAGAGAAGGGCCTCCCCGGAAGATCTCAAAGTCCTCGTGGGCTCATAGGCCGAGATGCGGTCAGACAGGTATTTTGGGCCGGAACCGTTTAGGGCTTTACAGGCCAAAACCAGCACCTTGAATTGGGTCCGGTAGCAAATCGGCAGCCAGTGGAGCTGGGACAACAAGGGCGTTGTGTGCTCCCTGCCACCCGCTCCAGTTAATAACATGGCTGCCGCACGCTGAACCAGCTGAAGCTTCCGGGCCGTCTTCAAGGGCAGCCCCACGTAGAGAGCGTTGCAGTAATCCAGGCGGGATGTGACAAGATATCATATTTGTGGTGTTGTGCTAAAAGTTGGAGTTCTTTTAGCTTTTGGTATGAAATATGAGATCTGAGGAATCTAATCTTATTGGATTTCTAAATTATCTAGGTCATTGATTCATTAGATATGGCTCCTTTGCTGCATCTATTGATTATGCTGTTTCGGTTAGTCATTCAGTTTTATGAAGCTGAACTCCAGGCAATGCAGAGGCAACAGCAGCTTCTGACAACACTGCTTGCAGGTGGAATAGTTAAAAACAAAAGTCTGTCACTTCAATACAGATGCAATGGAGAAAGGAATTGTGCAGACTTTGGTTAAAACATGTGTGTGTGTGTGTGTGTGTAGGGAGAGAGGGGGGACGTAAAGTGGCAATTCCTGATTTCCTTTATCCCTGAGATCTTTCTCCTTTGACATCTTAAACTGAAATGGTGGCTGCATCCATCATGTGGTCCATATGTGGTCATGAGACTCCATCCACTAGACATGCTCCCTGATAAAAGTCATGTAGTTGCGGACGGGATGCATACTGATTTTTTGATCACACACAAAAACAGCACTTCAGCGAGGGAAAACCTTGTAGTCTTTAAAATACTATGAATAGAATATCGTCTACTCCAAAACTCAAGCTAAACAGAAATAAATGGAGCATGTAGATACTGGTCCCATTGCATTTTTATAGTAACTACTGGTCTTTTGATCCTTGGACAATTTTCACACTGGAGCATGAATAACGGGAATTCTTTATTTCTACAGGTTGAGTACCCTTTATCTGGAATTTCAAAATCCAAAATACTCCAAAATTGCAAATTGTCCACAAGGGTGGCTGAGAGAGTGAGACCATTGCTTTCTGATGGTTCAGTGCACACAAACTTTGTTTTATGCCCCAAATTATTAAAAATATTGATTATAAAATTACCTTTAGATTATGTGCATGTTATCAAAAAATATAAATGAATTTTGTATTTATCCTAAGGTTGCATCTACAAGATATCTAATTAGTTATGCATATATTCCAAAATCCAAAATCCAGATCACTTCTGCTGTCAAGCATTTCAGATAAGTGATAGTCAACCTGTGTTTAAATTGTAAATTTATTACTTGTAGCAGCAACCCCTCCTTCTTGGAGGCTTTCTCTTCATCTTATGCTTATCTTCCTTTTTTCTGTAACAGAGCCTTAGAGCTGAGAGAGAATATGTGACTAGCTAAGTTAATGAATTTTGTAGCTGAGCAGGGATTCTCTAGTTTTTGTTGGTGCACTGTGCCTACAAGTCAGCTTCAACAACCACATCGTAGGACCTTTTTGGCAAGATTTATTCAGAGGATGCCATTGCTTGCCTCTAAGAGTAAGAGAATATGACTTGCCCAAAGTCACCCAGTGTGTTTCCAGGGCTGTGGGTATTGAAATACTGGCCTCTCTGAATCCTTGTGCAATGTTTAAACCACTATACCATGCTTGTTCTGTATTCTTAGCTTGGTAATTTAACCACAGTGCCATACCAGGTGTTGGTGAATATACTGTTGAACTACATTAGAGTGTCCTTCCTTCTGTAGGTTCCACTCTTATGGCTGAGCGATTGGGCCCATCTGCACCAAGCTCACCAACCTCATCTCCAAACTCACCCTCCGTCCTCTGCAGTGGTGTTTCTGATCCTGTTCTGAGCACATGTGGTTCTGGCCCACTTGGCAGCTCACTCAGTGGTAAGTATCTTACTTGCAGCATTAGGCTTGCATCCTATTCCATTTCATCTCATGACAACCTCAACCCTTCTTATACCTTTCAGTAAGATTCCTGTTTGCAAAATTCTGTTCTTTTTTAATATAGATGTAAATATCGGCAGTGATAAGCATTCTTATCAATCGCCCCACAACAATGTACAACCATTAAAAGCATTTAAAAATTAATATAAGCACTCATTTAAAAATAGACTGAAGAATTATAAGATAATGTAGAAGTCCAGTCCTATAAAACAGGCATAGCAACTACTCTCTGGTTTTAGCAGATGCAAAACAGCACAGACTTTGCTGCCTGCTAGAAGCTGAGGTGGGATGTAACTTTCCTAATTTTTGATGGGAGGGAGCCCCACAATCTGTATCCTGTTAAAGAGAAAACTCTGTGACATTTACCAAACTAAGTTCATAGGATCACGAGAACATCTGCTGAGTATCTCAATTTTTGGGCAGCATCACATGGGAAGAGGGGGTCCTTCAGATATCTGCATATTTATGTAAGGATTGACATACTATCTAGTGGTTGATTTAATTGGTCTGCTCACATTGAGACTAGTAATTGGATTTAAGACATGGTACTAATCTTTCACTTCTGTGACCTAGTGATCTTTTAATTTTCAAGCACTGTGGCTGATCAAGAGATAGTCCTTCAGATATTTGCACATTTATGTAAAAATTCACATACTATTGCACATTTATGTAAAAATTCACATACTATCAGATTTAATTGGTCTGCTAACATTGAGACTAGTAATTGGATTTAAGGCTTGGTACTAATCATTCACTTCTGTGAACTAGTGATCTTTTAATTTCTAAGCACTGTGGTTGATCAATGAGTGACAGTCTCTCTTCTTGTTTTGCAGGCACGGCTCCAAACTCTCCAGTCAGCATGCCGGAATCCCCTCTTTCCCCTTCCATCTCAGGGTCCTGGAACGATGAATGCACCATCTGCTATGAGAACATGGTGGACACCGTGATTTATTCCTGTGGACATATGTGTCTGTGCTACACATGCGGGCTCAAACTCAAGAAGATGGCCAATGCCTGCTGTCCTATCTGCAGACGTGCCATCAAGGACATCATCAAGACCTATCGCAGCACTTAGGACAGGTTGACATAAAGGGTAGGGATTGGGGAGATGGTATCGATGAGAATGAACCTAACCAGGCTAAATGGGAAGGGGTTTTCTTCGTCGCCAGTTGTCCCCACCCTTACACTTGTAGCTAATTTGGAACATGGCTACCTATGGGTAAAGCCCAGAAATCTGAGGGCTAAAGATTTCTTCCTGGCAAAGAGTTACTGCCAATAACATACATAAGGAGCCAGAAAGGTTTGGCTGCAGTGCTCCTCTTCCTGGGTTTCCTCTTCCTGTAATTTCTCTGCCCTTTTGTCCCATTGAGATGCTGCAAAGGTCAAAAGAGAAAGGGATTCTCTTTTGTTATAAATGTGTGAATGAATTTAAAATTTGGGAACCACCTAGAGCAGAGAAGAAACAAGTCATTTAAGTACTGGAACCACCTTGGGGAAGTACGAAGTCCCATAGGGAATATTTTACCCAAATTTCCAGTCAGCTGGACTGGAAAGAACTGTTAGTAACAGCTGTCATGAAGGTACATCGGTGGCAACTGGATTGACTCCATTACCCCTCTCCAATGCTATGTGGTATGTGCTGCTGCTTCTAAGGAAGGCAATCTTTGGGTGTGTCATTTTCCTGTTATGTGTCACATACAGGAATGCCTACTTTTAATTGAACATCTTCAAATTTTACTTTCCACAAATACTTCCTTTTTATTCTTTAGTACATCCTTAGCAGATGTCCCTCTTTTTTATCATACAACATCATCTCCTTCATCGATGTTTCTCAAGCCCTCCGTCTTTTCTTTTTTTAAGTGTTGCTCCAGAAAATCACTTTCAATGGCCATAGAGGTGCCTTCACATCTACTTTCAGAAAATGATGGAGCACATTATCAAAGCCATAAGAAGGAAGGCTCTCCATCAGGTCACTGGACATGTATCCTAGCTTTGGAGGAAAGGAATATCACCAGTAATTTAAGAATCCTTGGTCAAACTGAATGTACAACAGAGTTGAGTCTATTTTGCTATCAAGAAAGAGATCAGAATCAGAAGGAATTTATTTTACTTTTCAAAAATGGTTTAATGAAGGTTTTTTTAAGAAGAATCACTCTTCTCCCCAACATGTGAAGGACAATGCTTTTGGCTTCTTGCTCCCACCACTGTGAATATGCTTGGTGCAACTGAATTTTTGGCATTTTCCCCAGTGTCTTGCTACAGCTGATTATGCTATTCATGGACAAGCACAAGGCCTCATTTGTCAACGGCCCTTTGTTTTTGCTGATCCATATGACAAACTCTAAAACAACTCTGGCCATATCATCCCTTAGAGCCAAATGGACTAATGACTTTTGATATTGGACATGGACCAGAGTTGGAAGAAACTCCAAGTTCCAGTTCTCAATCTTAGCTCCCAAGTGTGGATACCATAGTGTTAAATAAGGAACAGATGGATTAAGAGCAAGAATCTAAGAGGGAAGTAGGTTCCTGGTGACCACCCTTCACCAAAAGTGTTAACATTCAAATGGGGAGTGGATTTTCTCCTCACCAAAGATATGTCCTGCTAATATGTGGTACTGTGGTTTCAAAGTTATAGCCTACTCATGCCAGCCTGAGAAGGTGGAAATCCTGTGTATGTAGTTGCCCATTGATAAGGGAAAGGGAACATGGAGAAAGGTATTTCTAAGTGCCCCAAGTCCACCCAAAGTACACACAACCTGCCATGAAGGAAAAGGCAAAGTCTTTCTTTTACAGTACATCCTTTCAAGTTAAAATCTTGAATTGGCCTTTCTGTCTAAACCATGTGAACTGTTTCAGCCTGTGCTGGACTTTTCTGGCTCATTGTTTACAGGGATCAGCACTGTACTGCACTGCAGGTTTGACATCTCTTACTCTTTAAAATGTCATTCCATACAATGAATGCTCTCGGCCTCATACTATTAATGCTCTCAGCCTCATACTATTAATGCAATCACAGAGTTCAAGAAACCAAACCACCATCTATCCACAGCTGCCTGTGGACATTAAGGCAGAGGTAGGCAAAAGCAGACCCATCAGATGTTGCTGGACACTAGCCCAAGCAAGAATAGCCAATGCCAAGGAGTGTTGGGAATTGCAGTCCAACAATATCAGGAGACAAGACTTTGCTCAACTTTGCATTAATGTGGTTCAGTGGTTCTCAACCTGTGGGTCCCCAGTTTACTAGCTGTCAGGATTTCTGGGGACCCACAGGTTGTAGTTGATCTCTCTTGCCAAGCACTATCTGGGGTGATAGAAGAACAACCAAGTACTCCCTGAAAACTGCTTTTCTTTGGTAGAGGTAATCCAAAACACCAGACCAAGAGGCATAGTATCCAGCACCTTGTTATGAAACAGAAAATCCCCCAGTCTCCACCTACGGCAGTAACAAATGAAACAATGAATAGTTTCATGATCAGTGGTGCAGCTAGATCTAAAATAAATAGTCTTGTAGTGCTGTCCCTTTCTTACTTTATTAGAGCACACAACTAATTGTTGTCTTTCATCCTACCTTTTCCCAATCATAATTTTAAACGAATTCTTCATTACTGATATCTTAGAGCAACTCTTCTCCCCCAACAACAAAAAGGCTCTCTAAAAATCTAGTTGTGTACCTTGGCAATGAAAACTTCAGAGCCTGTGTACTTTACACTTGAAGCTCAACTGGATCCGAGGTGCAACTGCAGGTTAGTGGCTTCCTCACTCTGCTGAATGGTTCAGCTGATTTTGCTATTTGGGTCTCTTCCTATGATCACTGGAGCTCCTCCTTACTAGTATGCATTAAGATAATAGAACCAGGATCTATCCCAAGTGAAGCCTAGATAGGTTTATCACATTTGTCCCTTGAGGATCACAGGCTGAGATCCTGTGTTAAGAGAACAGAACATAACACCCCATCTACGCAGTTCCATGTTGTTCCTTGCCCCAGCGTCTGTCAAATCCAGGGATGTGCTGCTCTTTGCTGGGAGAGAAGCAAGAGATAGTTTAAATAACGAAGAATTGACTGGTCTCAGCATGGAGGGGGAAGAGATGCTCACAGATGGCATCCACCTTCTTTCCCTTTTTGGAGCGCACACCAGTCACATCTTCATAATCTGATTTCCCCCCCTCATCTTTCCAGCAGCCAAGAGTAGCAGCAGTCAGTAGGACTTGACAGATGCACAAAGTAGAGGTTTTGGATAATATGCACAGAGTTAAAGAATTGCCCTTTGCACCTTGTTCAACAAGATGTGTATGCCCCTGATAGGATGCTGATACTAGATTACCTTCAGCCATCAGTTGACAAAATGAGAGAATTGTATCTTTAGGCTGCAATTCCATGTCCACTAATATGATAGTGAATTCCACCCAGAGCAGTGAATGGAGGATCTAAAGCAAATGAAGTGTATTTGTTTTTCCCTACAAAGTTATTCTTTCCATTTAAGTCAGAGGTTCCCAACCTGTGGTCTGTGGACCACCAGTGGTCTGCAAGAATGAAAATATGGTCTGTAGCCTTACCATTACTACATTGTTGCTTCAAAACCATGCGGCAACAAAAGCAACAAGTCTCACGAAACCCTCATAGTGCTGAGGCAACTGGGATGTCTGGAGGGGAGAAGCTGACTACCCACGAAAGATTACTACTATCACATCAGCTCTAGATTATTAAATATGGTTTTCTGTGGGCAAGCAGTTAGCGACTACTGGATAGCATATGTTCTGAATCGGAAGCTACAGCCGATGTGGTCTATCCAATGGAATGTTATGAATCAGCACCCCAAATAACCAAATCGAATCTGAAGTTAACCAAAAACTGATTTGTAACCCTTTTGGTACTAATGTTGGAGAGTGGTCCCTGGTAAAAGTGGTTCTTGTTCAAGTGATCCCTGGTCAAAAAAAGGTTGGGAACAACTGATTTAAGTAGTTGAGGCTGTCTGTGTGTATTGGTATTTCATATGGGTCAAGGTGTTGGCACACGAGCAGCAACATATATAGCCATACGCACAAGCCAACTGTTTCCAGTTTACTAACATTTTGAGGACAGAAGATATTGCCAGTTATTTGTACTATTTTGATTATAGCGTATTAATAGGAGGAAAGGGGGAAATGTTGCAATTTTTAAAATATCCAGTCAGCAGAAGTAGGGTGGGAGGTTAAAGTACTGTAGGGACAGGAGCATGTCCTGGTCTTACTAGATGTTGCCAGCCAGTTTTTTCATTTCTCTAGAATGTATTTGAAATATGGGAATGTGCTTGTGGGAGTTTCCTCCCAGAGCTTCAGCATCTAAGACTTTATGCTATAGAGACATTAGCAATCTGAGCCTATCTTAGAATGATGACTAGTTGTAATGTTTATAATTGTTGCTGCTGTTGTGCATGGCGGAGGGTGGGAATGGCTCCAGAAAAGACACTTTCTGCATTTCTTAGTATTCCTTTTGGCATCACTTCTGCAGGGGGCATGCCTCCCTTGTTTTACATGCAATTGTGGTTTAAGTACATTGCAGTCATATCTTTAAAAAAAACAACAACAAACAAACCCAAGGGTTGTGTAAAAAGGACATTTTGAGTTTCATGTTCATTTTCATGTTCTAGTATGTTTTGTTTTCCATTTGTTTGAATTGTCATCATTTTTTCACTGACCCAACCTTTCTCCTCCTCTCTGTAACATGGTGTTTTTCATCAGGATAGTATGATGATTGAGGCTTTCTCCTAATTCCAAGGACATCAGAGCTACCAGACATCTGGGAGATAAGACAAAGACTCTTTTGGGAAAGATGTACAGGCACAGACTGTCTGATCTTTCAAATCAATGCAGCTCCCTGCTCTATGAGTTTCATCCCTCCCTCTCTATGATCATTTTGTGAAATGGGCATATAGTTCTGGCCTATTTTGGTCAATGCAAAACAGGGCCTCCAGCACAAAATCACAGAATTGGAAGAGAACACAAAGGCCATCCAGTCCAACCCACTGCCATACAGGAACACACAATCAACACACTCCTGACAGGTGGTCATCCAGCCTCTCCTTAAAAACCTCCAGAGAAGCAGATTCCACTACATTCTGAGGCAGCACAGTTGAACATCTCTTCCTAACCCTTTTCCTGCCATTTAAATCCATTGCTCCGTGTCTTAGTCTCTAGAGTAGCAGAAAACATGCCAGTCCCCTCCCTGCTGGATTGGGATAATCGGCCGAAATGTTATATAATGTTTCCTATAGTGTGCAGTATGTCAAAATCTTATGTCATTTAAAATATCTTCTCTTTTACCCAATCCTTTTTTTTGCTGCTGCTGCTATCATCCATCATTATCATCATCATCATAATCATCATCATCATGATATATCAGCTACTTAGTTAACTCAGTATACTTCAGTATGTTTAATCATACCAAAGTATATTTAACTGATACACTAAAGCTAAGGTGAGGAGGGGAGTTATAGTCATGGGCAGTAACGTCAAAATCATGACTAAGTACTTGTTGTAGATACAGGACAATGACCTAGAGCTGCTCGTCCCTAACTGTTCTGTATTCATGAATACTACTAAAACACAATTATGACAACATTTCCAGGATTTAACTCCCACACCAGTTTATTTTACTAGGCATCAGCTGCACAGGGAGGAGGAGATTGGTTCTTTCACTGATTAAGTCATGGGAAATGATGTTCCTATCAGTTTGGGTGTAGTGGCTTAAGCCAAGAGAGATTACTTAGTTAACTAGGTTGCTGATACAGATTTCTGGCTATTATTATTGTAGTTACTATCTAAAACCCTGCATCAGATGTAACTTATGGCTGACCCACCCTGAACCACAATAGAAACACCATTCACATATGTTCCAGTTGCTATCAGAATGGGCCTCTTTCTCCACATGCAGCTGATGCCTGGTGAGGTATGTTTGCTAGGTAGGTAATGAGCATGGCAACAGTATCACAATTATTGCTGAGTGACAACCATGAGTATTAAACATGAGTAAATCACAAATGCTACTTAGTCATGATTAAGAAACTGTTGTCATGATTTTAATTCCTGACTGGCACCTTAGCCACTTAACTAAATAACTGATATGTCCTATTGGTTATCATTACAACCACTACTAAACTAAAAGCTACTGTGTGGGGGAAATCAATGGGGATTATTCTTTCCATTACAGTCCACTGAAGTTCATAAAATGCATCTTTGGCATTTACATAAGTTCTATGCTTGCTTTCTAGCCCTTCCTCATCCACAGTAAAATCTTTGACTAATTGGCTGAGCTTGACAGAGACTTGTTGGTTTTTTTTTTTTGGCCTGGAATCATACCACTGGAAGAGACCATAAGGACCATCCAGTCCAACTTCCTGCCAACCAGTAACACCCAGTTAAAGTACCCCCAACAGATGACCTTCCAGCCCCTGCTTAAAAACCTCCAGAGAAGGAGACACCACTTCACTCTGAGGGACAAAGTCTATTGCCAGAGGGCTCTTACCATCAGGAAGTTTTTCCTATTGTTTAGGTAAAATCTCATTGCCTGTAGTTCGAATCTATGAAGCCTAATATGTTCCCTGTTGTGACAACCCAAAGCCAAAGCATCTAAATTATTTGTAAACAAAGATCCAAATCCCACATTGTGTGGAACTACACAATGGCTCACCATGAAGAGTCGCAATTTCGTTGCGATAAGCCCTCCATGTTTTTTTATGGAAAGGGATGGCAGAGGACATTTCTTGCTA